CCGGCAAGCGCCCGATGGCCCATCAGAACGCCGGCCTCGTAACGGTTCAACCGCTGCGACGCTCCGAGATGCAGCCTTCGTACAAGCAGAATCTGGGCCTCGACACCGTCGACCACGGCTTCTACGGCACCATGATCAACGGCATCGGCGCCGTCGCCGGCTTCTTCGGACAGCTTCCCTTCTGCTTCTGCTGCCCCAATCCGTTCAAGGAGGTCCAGCAGGGCAGTGTCGGCCTCGTCACCCGCTTCGGGCAGTTCTACCGCAGCGAGGACCCCGGTCTCGTCCAGATCAACCCTTGCAGCGAAAACCTTCGGTCAGTGGACGTAAAAATTCAGAACTCTACTATCCCTCATCAAACAGCGATTACCCGTGATAGTGTCTCCATTGGGCTCGAATCGACGATCTTCTGGCACGTCTCCAACCCGTACAGGGCGGCGTTTGGCATCACGGACGTGCGCTCTGCGCTGATCGAGCGAGCGCAGACGACGCTGCGCAACGTGGTGGGCGGACGTACGCTGCAGTCGCTCGTGACGGACCGCGAGCAGGTGGCGCTGGAGGTGCAGGAGATCGTGGGCGACATTGCGGACCGATGGGGTGTGCAGGTCGAGTCGATCCTGATCAAGGACATCATCTTCTCCAAGGAGCTGCAGGAGTCGCTCAGCTCTGCGGCCAAGCAGAAGCGTATCGGCGAGTCCAAGGTGATCGCTGCGCAGGCCGAGGTGGACGCTGCCCGTCTGATGCGACAGGCTGCCGACATTCTTGCGTCCAAGAGCGCCATGCAGATCCGCGCGCTCGAGAGTCTGCAGGCGATGGCCAGGACGGCCAACAGCAAGGTCATCTTTGTGCCCATGAACCTCACCGACCTCAACGGCGACTCGCTGCCTCCCGGAGGCACCGGCCCGGGCGCCAACGTGGCTCCGGCCGCGAGCGGATCGCAGGGTGCTCAGTCCGGCACCATGCTGAACACCGCTGCTCTCACCCAGCTTGCCGAGATGTAAGTGGAGGGCCAATCGTCCATCTGATCGTGCAGATCGTCGTCTCTCGGACCCAGACTGATGAGAAGCCGGAATGTCGATGTATCGGCCCGCTTCTTGCCATACCCTTTTTGCGAAATGATACCTGCTCTTTGCTCTTATTGTGCTTGAAGTGTGGCGTTCGGATGTGGTAGAGACACGCGTGGTGAGGCTGGTCCGTTGAGAGCACAGATGCGACGAGAAGGGAGCGAGTGTGTGGTTACCGGCAGTATGTCGAGGACAAGCGCGTCAGGTGAGCATAAAGATCAAAGAGGAGACCCGCCGATGATGGTGGTTAGCCGTGGAGCGGGCTGGCGGACTGCATGCTGAGTCCGGGCCAGAGCGCACTAATCGGTCATGGGCTCAGCGCCTTGATCGAAGAGCAGCAGCCAGCGCCTTCTCATTTCAGTTCAAGTTCCGAGGGCCCCACCGACGAGCCATTCCCAGAGCGTCTGCACCTGGTACCCCCCCCC